GGAACACAACATCTACATGTCATGGAACACAACATCTACATGTCACGGAACACAACATCTACATGTCATCCAGAGAAAGGTTTGGATAGAGGAAGACTGGAGAAATCACTCTGACAGGCTCTAGTAAAAATATTGTTAACATCCCTTCAGCTACAGAAAATCTCAGAATAAAGAGAGTGAGGAAATAACAGTGAGGAAAGGACACACACAAGGAGTGTGCACTGGTCACAGCAAGGACCTTACCAACCTTCTGTCCTTACCTTTAATAAGCTCTGGTTTGTAGGCTTTTCTTAGCTGCTCTAGGAAGTTGTTATAAAAAGACTCAGCCTGCTCTGTGGGCATTGCCATGTGATAGTCAGGCTTGTTTCCCTTCAGGATGCACTGGAGAGTGAACTGGCTGACACACAACACCTCATACTGTTTATCCATCACACTTTTGGACCAGTGCTTCCCACTTTCATCTTCGAAGACTCGCAAGTTCAAGATCTTCCGAACCCTGGGAGGAGGAGAAGATAATTAATTCCTAAATTGTCCCCTGCAGGATCAACAGGTATCATAAAGAATAACAGGTATCATAAAGAGATAACAGATGCATATTCAGCCTGCCTCCACATAACAAGATAACCCTCTGCCCCTTGATTCCCAGCCATGGGAATCTCATCACATTAGGCAGAACCCTTACACAAATGTCAGGTCATTAATCCACACCATCATTTCAGAGTGTGGCACCAGGACAGAATAACTGCATGTTCCACAGCAACATAAAGATGGCACAGGAAGGAAGGGAGCTCACTCTTTACTATCTGCTTTGATGTGTCACAACATTATTGAACGTGTGAACAGCTTTGGGAATTTGAATCCTCCCACCAGACCAGGAAATCACACTCAGTAGGAAATGAGATCATCCTAAACTGTGTTTAAAACTGTGGGGTTTTGTTTCCAATCATGATTCCAATCATGATTCATTATATACTCCTCCTGCTTTGTCACTTCCTAGCACTATTTCCAGACCAGGCCCCATAAGCCAGATGATGACAACACTTTTTCATCAGGATGAGAGGAGGAATCCAAGAAACAGGAGAGAACTGCAGCTGGCAGCAAAGTGGTTTGAATTTTGGGCTGATTTTCTTGAGATAGGGGACAGAACTGACTGGCTCAACACAAAAAGGGGACTTTCACAAGTGGATCCTGAAAAGCAGCAGGAAACTGCAACCCAGTCCATGTCAGGACTGCATCCAAGCCACTCTCCTGTCTTTGGTTTCTTCTTCTGGCTTCTCCACACCTGCAGCATATCAAGTACAAAGGGTTTCAACTGCAGCCCTCAACCAGGCATTTTGCACTGCACCAGAGGTGAGGCAGTGAGTGCAAGACAAAGCTGAGACTTTGTTGTGGTCCAGCTTCAGCGTTTTGCCATCACTAGGGCACAGTCACAAGAATATCCTTGCCAATTTGTGTGTGTCAACAGCAAACAAAATTAACTCCCGAATGAAGTGGATTGTTGAAAGCATCCACTGGAAGGCCCCAGCAGAAGGCTTAAACCATCACCACTGCTCTGTTTTCTTCATAGAGGTGTTTGTTGATTCATTTACAGGATTACTAAAGTTTCCTTTAATAGGACCTGAAAAGCCTGGTTAAGCTGCTTTCTCTCACTCCCTTTGCCCAGATGCTGGCTTCCTGCCCTTCCTGTGCCAGCCATCCCAACAACCTGGTGCTGAGAGCATGGCAGCCACAGATCTCCTGCCTGCAAAATTCAGGAGCAGCTTCCACATCCACCAGGACAGGGATGGGAAGTGATGGCAGAGCAGGTGTTACACACTGAGAGAACCAATGGAGAATGTGAAAACAAAAACCCCTTCTTCTTGACATCAGTCAGCTCCATTATCTGTTTCTTTTTTGCCTTTGCAAGGGCTGAGGTCAGCCCTAGAGCAATAACCAGCCCAAAAAGAGACAGAAGAAGCCCCTGGAGAGCTCTCCCTTGCATGTGTTAGCTGGCTGAATCCCAATATTCTGTGGCCATGGAGCAGATGGCCAGAGCCAGTCCTCCAGGCTGCCAAAACTGATTCCTGTTTGCAGACAAGCAGCTGACAAGACTATCCTGCCTTTAGGAAGTACAAAACTCCTGTGCAAGCTAAAAGGAGAGTTTGAGGATGCTCATAAATCCCACCCTTGAAAGATGGATTTCTTTTGGACTCAAAAAGGATTTAAAAGAGTCTGCTCTTGATAAAAAACACATAGCCTAGATTTTTCTCAATGGAACATGAAGAGAAAACTTGTATTCAAGGTAAAATCTGAAGAGGAACAGGCAAACCTGAATTTCCCAATAGGAGTAACTGATTTGTTTGGCTACTGCACAGGTGTCAGCAATGCACAAACAGAAGAGTACAAGGCAAAAGGAAGGGAGTGACTTACATGTGCTCCAGCTCTCTTTGTGTATCTTCCAAAGAAATGCCCAGCAGCACACAGAGGCCTCGTCCTATTGAACTGATTTGCTCACCACCCACTGAAGAAAACAGAGAGGGAAAAGAAAAATAAGGCTAAATGCACTGTCTTGTTTTATGGCACTGGTTTCAGCAGTGCAACCACTAAAGGAAACAGCATTCTAAACCCTGTTTCCTCTGTCTTAAGTTTGTAGATTTGAAAGATCACACAGAGGCACTCTTTCAAAAGCTTTCCAATGCCACTTTTACCACTTCTTTATCAGATTGGGTTACTTACTCCACCATTTAAAAACACTGTATGAAGATTTTTATACTGCAATTGCATCAGTTGTCCTAAACAGAAAGGTGGTAAAACTCTCCCCAATCCTTGAAAAATTATCCACCTGGTTGATGCCACCAAGTGCACTCAATTTCTCTACTCCACCATTCCCTTCATACTTTGCCATTATTTTGAGCAGGTGATTTCTACCTGAGTCCTCACAGATTTTTTGAAATATAACTTTCAACAACCTGCAAATTAGACCCTTCTAATTGGGAAAACAAGCCCTTAATGACATTTACAATAAAACACAAAAACAGGTAGTGTTTTCCTAAGAAATGCCTTAAACTATCTTAATGTAATTAAGTTATCTTAATGTGCCTCACCCTGCAATGACTGTGGTAAGAATAAATGTGGTCTTAAAACTGAGATAAGCACCAGTTACCCAGCTGCTAAAATTGCATCTAGGTTCATGACTGGGACAAAAAGCTGCAAACATCCCACAAAATGAAAGGAGATCAGGACTCCAGTGAAAGCTGAAAGTGGCTGGATCAAGGTATGAGTCCTCCAGTCCCAAAATTTGTCCTGCTAAGTACAGCAGTGTCCACCAAACTCTTCAACAGCCAGGAACTCTCCCCAGTTTCAACTCAATAGTTGAAACTCTCCCCAGAAAAGTCACAGGAGGTGCAAACCAGTGCAATAGCAGGGATATTCCACCAGGACACACCATTCCTGAAGGAACCCAGGCGAGCAGTGCCTGGCAGGGCAGCTGGGACAGCACCACTGACACACACACAGGCAGTGCAAAAAGATGATCCGAGCTGCACTGCCAACATGCCTGCCGTGCACGGAGGTGACTGGGACTGCAGTGCCAGGGAGAGGGACAGCGGGATGGCACTGCCACCACAGAAACAGCAAAGCACGGCCGTGCCAGGGCAGCCCCGCTAACACAGCGCCCAGGCGGTGTCACGGCACCACAGCACCGAGCCTGCCGGAGCCCAGGAAGCGTTCGGACAATGCTCCCGGCACACGGGTGACTCTCGGGGATGTCCCGTGCAGGGCTAACAGCTGGACTCCACGATCGCTGTGGGTCTCTTCCAACTCCGAACACTGTGCGATTCCGTGAGCACAAGCGAAGCAAGACGACTGCGACGGTGCTGCCGACACAAAGGCGCTGGAGGAGGCGATGGCAGCTGTGTGCCAGCCCACGCCCGCCCGGCAAGGGGGCACACGGAGCTCCACACATGTCCACACACACACACACGTACCCGCGGGGCCGGGTCCCTGGAAGAGCCGCAAGCGAGCGGACCCACGGCAACCCCACGCGGGGGGACAGGGCGAGGGGAGCGCCCGCAACACCCACAGCCAGCCCCGCACACAGACACCGCCCGGCCGGCCCGGCCCCCGCAGCTCCGCGCTCGGGACACACTGACCTGTGACGCTGGCCTGGGCCACCCGCTGCACGATCGCCTTCATGGCGCAGCGCAGCGCGGCCGGCGCCGAGCGGGGACAGCGGCGGCGCCCGGCAGTGGCAGCGGCGGCCGCGACCCACGCACAGCGCCCCCCGGCGCACGGGAGGTGCCGCTGCAGCCCCGGCAGCGCCGCGACGGGGGATTCCATGGGACAGGGACAGGTGCGCGTCCAGGTGCTTGGCCTTCCTCTTATTCCTTTAATTCCCTCTCCCTCTTATTCCTCTTTATCCCCTTCCTGTGGGGATTTGGGGGTGCCTTCCAAAAAAGGAATATGCACGTAAGCAGATTGGCATCCGCTATTGGGACCCAGCAGGGTGCCCATAAAAATGAGGTGGTGGCTGTAAGGAGCTGAGGAGCCCATGTGGAAAGGTGGGGCCGTAGGTGCACGGGCTGGGTGGGGCTTGGGTTGTAAAAGCTCCTACAGAATCAAAGGTGTGGGCTGCAAGGGCAGGGACACTTTGCACCAGGCCAGGATGCTCTAGGTTATCCAAAACCTGCCCTTGAGCACTTCCACAGCTGGGGAATCCACAGCCTCCCTAGGCAGCCTGTTCCAGTGCCTCAGCACTGTCACAGTCAAGAACTTCTTCCTAATATCAAAACTAAATTTCCCCTCTTTTTATTTGTACCACCTCCCCCTTGTAGTATCACCACAGTTCCTGATGAAGATTCCTTCTCCCTGCAGCATCCCTGCAGGGCCCCCTTCAGCAATTGGAAGGATCTGGAAGCTGAGGTGTGTGGGCTGAGGAGATGGAGACAGCTTTCCAAACAGCAAGATGGGAAACCTCAGATCCCCTTCTGGGCAGGGCAAGATGTGTCCCAACAGGGCTGTAGGGAGAGCCCCAACAGAAACAGGGAAGGTGATGTCCATAAGGACCAGGGAAAATCCTACAGAATGAACATTAGTTCTGGCCACAGAGTTCAGGGACAGTACCCTACAAGGGGACAGCGTGTGCAAGGATCAGGAAAACCCTAAAGAACAAGAGCCTGGAACAGAACATTCAGTAAGTTTTTAGCTTACAGAAACATCTCCACACTTGTAACTCATCTCTCATGAGCTTTTATTTGAAGGACCATTAAGAACTCTGGTAACCAAGACATTAAACTATATTCCTTCCCATTTACTCATGGTTCCTGAAGTATCCATTTCAGAGCTGCCCAGCTGAGGAGCCACCCCAGGTACAGCCTGGATCACCTGGGTTTGTCCTGCTGGGAAAGCACCTTCACACCAGCGGGGCAGAGCTGCTGTTCCAGCAAAGTAAGGGACAGTTTTCCAGCAGTGCTCTGGTGCCAGGCACTGGGATGATGTTCTCACAGCTCCAGCACAATGTTCTGAACTTCTGTGCAGCTCACTTTTCAGAAGGAGGGCCATCATCAGGGACAAAGAATGACACCATACGCCTGAGCAGCCGAGTAAGAGGAGGCTGAACCTCTTTGTATGTTATTTCTGTTGTCACTGTCAATCCAAAAGGATATTCCTTAGTGTGTACTTCCTTGCGGGGTTGGCTTGCCTCAGGATCATTTTCATTCTCTAAGGAATAGAAAGGATGGTAAGGGAGGGAAGACAAAAAAGAGCACAACAATAAAAATGTTTTATCCCTTTATCATGGCAGCCATGTATTCTTTTTGATTTTCCTTCCATTCTGAGGACCAGATAGCAAAGATCTGTTAACCATAGCCAGAAAAACTGATTTAATGGGGTAGATCAGATACCTGCCCTGGTACTGGACAATTCTCAGTACTACAGTAGCAGTAACAACAGGATTCCCAAGCTATCCACATCAAAACTAGCCCAAGCAGCCCAGTGCAACACCCATTAATTCCACTGTATGACCACCCTCTCAGTAAAGAAATGCTTCCAACCTAATTCTCCGGCAGCACAGCTTCAAACCATTCCCACAGCGCAAATAAAACCAAAAGCTTGGGAAGAGCCTAGGGCCCGTTCCCGCGACTTGAGATATAGCACAAGCTTCTCCCATCATCACGGGATACATCTCCCCTCAGGAGGGACACCCGGCTCACTCAGCCGGCAGCCTCACAGCCCGAAGTGCCCCGAGGGACGGGCTGGCAACACTCAGCGTCACTTTCCCCGGCCGGGAAGCGGTGGGAGCGGGACTGGGGAAT